AAAGCCTATTAAAGATAGCGGCTATAGTTTTAATTGTCAATTATTCCTAGACAAACAATGAGGAGAGAGAAAGCAAATACTAATGAAAAAAGTGAATACCAGATGTCACACGTTGTTGATCAGTTTTTTTCTTAGTTTCAAATACAAACGGACGACTCAGAAGGTTTCAGCGCCGGCACAAGCACACAAGGGTCAAGGACCGGTATCTTTACACATGATGGAATGTTAAAGAACTGTACGACAGCTTTTCGTTTGTTATGAATTCGTCGCTAAAATTTGACGCGAAAACTCTGCCAAATAGCGAAAATAACGAGAGGAAAACACCATACAGACTCTGCTACAGAGACAAGATAAGAGTCATTAATACTCGACGTTTTGCAAATGAAGACGAAAAATTGAATTCTGATTTGTGGAAATCGGAGAGACCAGAAATGCGGGCGTTTCTTCTTCCGACAAAAGTTAACTCTGTTGAAATGATGGAGACGAGAGTAATACAAGATGTAAAATGCGGAAACACGAATAACGGAAGAGTTACTTCAGTGGAGCGACGAACAACTTCCAGGTTCTGCCTTCCTTATTTACTGGGAGAAAAGTATATAACTCCGATATTTAATAGGACAACATATGGAGGTTTTCGAACTCAGCAAGAGAGAAAATGCTTGGCGTTTACAAGAACTTTGCAACTTAATCATAAGAAGATATTTGGTGAAAACGAGAAGCGTTTAAAGTCTGTGTTAGATATCTCAAGACCGCTTCAGCTTCAATCAAGATATGTTATCACGGTTACCCCGGAAGCGCTAGGTAACCGCTCATAAATGGCTGCCGTGTACAACTGAAACTCAGAAATAAAATTCGCCAGTGGGGATTGTAAAAAAGCGACTCTTGGAAGAAGGAAATTTTATTTTACATACATCGACAAATAAACCAGCTCTTTGTTTGATAAATAAATAGCAAGGGCAAAGGTACAGAACAAAGGTTCCACATTCTGATGGACCTAGTTAGCAAAATTTTTGTAAGTTAACAGTAAAAAAAAACAAGGCTGCTCAGCGTACTGACTCAAGAGGCTGAGGATGAGCTACTCTTGACTGACTGCAGGCATGGCATGACTTGTTCAGGGAACCGGGGAAATAATATATTTCGAATTTTAACGGTCTTTTTGTTATCATATAGAATCGCATAACTGAGTAAAATCTCGCATTCTGATTGGTTAACGAAGCGAGGTATTTAGTGTGGAATTGAGAGTTGAAAACGAGGCTAAGCGATATTGTTTCGCATCTACGTATATACGTAACAACTATCGTCAAATTCTAACACAACAACTGCAAAAAAGCTTTTCTAGGCTGTCATTTTAAAATATTTTTAAATTGAAACCATTGTCACCTTTTGAAGAGTTAAAAACAAACAAAAGCGTTTTTTAAAGTGAGCCGGAGGTTCTTCCTTGTTTTGAACTGAACTACAAATTCTTGGAGAGGCATAACTGAACCTCTTTCGCTCGCGAAAACGAGAAAACAAAAAAATCCTGTGAACACGACCCAGAAAATGGCAAGCCAAAGTTCAACCAAACAAAACGGATAAGCGACAACGGAAGAAGTGCCAGGGTCGATTGTCGCTTGGCCACCTCATTTCTTTCAGTTTTGCTGCCGAAGAGGTAAAAAGTGTAAATTTATTTCCTTCTCGAGCAAATGACCAGTTTGAAAAAAGATGTTATAGATAACCGGCTTGTAAATTCAGTGAAATACCTCTATTTATCCTTAAGATTAGAGTGAAACTTGTTTCCCGAAAGGTTTGAAAACAAATGTAAAAACAAGCACAAAGTGCAAAAAACGTGTACGACTGACCTTGCTTCCTATTCGCTAACGCAATAACAGTTCTGACAATTGACTTTGAAATGGAGCACGAGCTCAAGATAAAAACAAACAATATTATTGCTGTTTTCTTCTTTTTCTGATTTTTATTCAATTATGCGATTCAAGGAAAATCCATTACCTGACTCGTGAAGTCAAGGTTAAATTGCACTTGAAAACCGATATCGCACGAATCGCGAAGGGATGAGTGCGATATCGGTTTTCGCGTGCAATTTAACGTGGAATTCCCTCGTCAGGTAATGAATTTTCCTATAATATCCTTTTATTTCTTAGTTTTTAAATTTTAACGACCTTTCTTTTAGTCAGTAGTCATGCCCTTTGAAGAAGTGAGACCGCCAGTGACTGACGAAATATTGGAAACATAATCTCATAGCTGTTCAGTCAGCCTTGCTTTTCTCACACAATCAGACAATGAACAATATATAAACGGCAAACGATGTAAAATTTAAAAAAGTATACAAAAATGGTAAAAAAAATTAAAATATTTCAACAAATTTTTAATTCGGCTTTTAAAACTAACTTTTCTCATACTCTAAAAGTTAAAGAAAAATAAAGGAAGATACGGTCTTTCATGTTACCCGTATTGCATCGTACCCATCTCAAATGACACGGGGCCATTTACTAGGAAAGTAGCGTATTTAAAGTAGCAAAAGGTTTTAAAAACCAAGTGTTTTTTGTAAGAAAATTGTTCTTTAGAGATTATTAGCGGTGTTTGTGATAAAAAAAAAATCGCAGTTTTTTTTTAAATTTCATCTCTCATGGCTTTTAGCGTCAACGAAGTCGTTCGCGTGGCTCAATTACGCGACAGACAATCCACGCGAACTACTACGTAGCCGCTAAAAGCCATGAAAGAGAGAAACCTATGCTCGCAAGGTAAGAAGTCGATTAGATGAAAGTTCCAGAATTATTGGTTTCCGCCAAACAAACGTTCGTTTGAGGAATCGAATAGTTTCCGAGCAACGTACTACTCGTTTTCACGTAAAAGGAGATTTTGGAAATGAAATATTCCAGGAAATTTGAATGACAATATTTCAATTTCATCTTTCTGGCATTTTTGTTTTGCTACTGATTTGTAAAGGGACTGACCTGTCTATAACAATTTTATTTTATAGGCAGCAAGTTATTGTCCAATGCTATCAGATTTAATGTCGTTGGTAATCGTTGTTAATCGAATAATAGCGAACAACGAGGGCGACGGCAACGAAAACGTCACTAAAATCGTGAAGTCGCGCTGCTTCTAACTTTATTGCGCTTATTCTATCTCGTTTAATTCATCAAATCTTGGCATTTTTTTAGTTGATTCTAAAAGACTGTATCGAAGTTCAGAACAAGAAGAAGAAAGTCGTTGCCTCGTGTCTACGTCCTCGACAAAACGTGATTAGGCATTTTCAAGTCGTAGTCGTGCTGTGACGGCAAAGAAAAGTACAAAAAAGCGTGATGCACGTGCAACTTGAAGTTGTTGTTTTGCCAAAACCTATTGCTTTTATACCGTTCTCGTTGACGTCCGGCGCCATCATCGTTGCTTAAGCTCCCTCATGACGCAATTAAACTGAAATTTCGAGGCTTTTCCCCGTGATAATGAAAGATTCGTTGAACGAGTTTTCGAAAATAAAAAACGTTAAATAGGCCAGTTTTGAGTTATTAAAATTCATACTTAGCCCCGAGGCTTAGGCAGGATGAACAAAAGAAAAGAACTCTTTAATCCCTTAGCCTGAAAAAACAGGCGACATTTCGCGACGCTGCCACTGGTTTCCTAAGAAATGACGTGTGAGTAAAGAGGGCAGAAATTCCATACTGATGACGCGTCACTACCTCGATCTGGATAACGCTTCTGATTGGATTAATCAAATACCGTAAAATTCCGAAAATAAGCCCCGGGGCTTATATTTTTCAAAGGCCTTTTTTGAGGGGCTTATGTACGGAGGGAAATTTGTGTTTCAAAATCGATTGAACTAGCTTGTAGTGGGAGGGAGATTTACCATTTTTTGCTTTGTTTTACTTTGTATTCGAGGGCAAATTCCAATTACAAGGCCCCGCGGGGCTTATATTCCGGGAGGCGATTTAACGGAGGGTTACGTGAGTTACGATTTTGAGGGGCTTATACATGGAGGGGCTTATTTTCGGAATTTAACGGTATCCAGCCAATCAGAAGTACAACCCAGATCTGGATAGTGTTCCACCATCAGTATGGAAGTTTCTCAGACGTCATTTCGCGGGAAAATTAGTGGTGGGATCTCAAAATTTCGGCGTTTTCTCAAGCTATTGATCTCTGAATCTTAATACGATTTATCTTGTTTTGTTCCCCCTCGGCTTTAGAATTTAAGTATGAATTTTAATAAACCAAAACTGACCTATTGGATTCCGTTCATTTGTTTACATTATTTATTGAAGTCTCAGCGTTTCTAGGAGAATTTTATAATAGATGTTATTAGATTTTTTAGCAATAAAATAATGATCTTTCAAATAAATTTAGGTGCATAAGAAAACAGGCAATTTAACAAGTTATAGGCCCCTGGAAACTCCTTGCTGTAGCAGTATCAGGTACGTGAAACAGGTAAAGTGGAGTTCTAAGTATCCGATTATTTATGTTACGTCGACACCCTAAAACTAATAGGCGATGGCCTAGAAAGACTTCCTTTTTCTTCACATAATGATTTTCTGGGGAAAGAAAAGAAAGAATTAAAATTCTGGATTACGTCTGTGATCTCATTTGCCTCAGTGATATTTTTCTGTTAGATATATACCATGTATTAACGCTTTTTTAAGTAGTCTTTTTGGTTGTTCTTTACGCTAATCATATTTATTAACAGTTGTATAAAATTTTTTGTAAGTGACGAAGATAACGGCAATTCCATAAATTGTACTTTGATACAAGGCTTTCTTTGTTATAGATAAAGAATTCAGATTTGTCAACGGAGGAATCTTAAGCTATATACAGTATTAGTGAAAAACATAATTATTTTAGAATGTTTTTGGGCAAATGCATTGGTTGTTCTTTTTACTTGGTAATAATTCTTAATTCTTGGTTTGCACGTTTCACTCAATTGAAGGAAAATTTCGCATCCATAATAATTTCTTTGGGCATTTGATTCGCTTATCATTGTTTTCTGGTCTCTGTTAGATTCAATGGTAAACATGGCAAAATATGGATACAGAAAGATCGCAGAAGATGGCAATTCGAAAAAAGCCAGCCTTTTCTCTCTTCTCTTCTTTCGATGGATGAATAGTGTCTTGAGGACGGGTAATGAACGAAGTCTCGAAGAAAAGGATTTCTTGCCGCTTGCCAAAGAAAGTACCTCTCACTATCTGACAAAACGCCTCAAGAAAAAATGGAACGATGAAAAAGCAAGATGTAATAAATACAATAGCAAGAAACCTAAGCTTTGGAAAAGCCTACTGAAGTCCATACCCCTTTACGATCTTATGTCGATTATTTCTACCAGCGCCCTATATTCTCTGACTCGCCTTCTTCAACCACTTCTCCTCGGTTGCCTGACAAAAGCTCTGATGTCAGAGGAACGGCAGAATAATTACCTAAGCTATGGTTATGCGTTAGGCATGGGCGCCAATGCTTTACTCGGTTGCATCGCCTTACATCAGTACGGCTGGCGATGTGAAAGGCTTTCTATCAGAATCAGTAGCGCTCTGAAAGGATTAGTTTATCTCAAGGTGAGCAAGGATAAAGCTCGCTGCATGAGCAATCATAGCCCATAACCTAGCCTGAGTATCAGGCGATTATGGGGGCAAAAGGATAAGAAAGAATTGAAAAGCGGGTGAAAGTGAATTACGGGGATGAAATAACTTGAGAGAATCATAAATGTAAAATTTATAAAGATTTTTCAGAGCTTTTTGGTAAGTCTATAAAAACTATCCTCTCTTGATAAAACTCAGTCATTTCGCACTCTATTTAGCAAGTAAAATTTACAGACTTTTCATAACCATAATTGATATACATCCATTAAAAAAACCTTATGAAATACCTGCAAACATCATTTTACCGACATTTTGTTTCCCTTTGAGAAATAGGGGAAGATTTGCTCTCTCGTTAATAGTCTATAAAATTTACAATTTATAGACATTTTATTATCTCTGTAAAAGATCCAGTTTTTCCAGTGGAAAGGAGAGAAAATTATTTTCGTTCTTCACCCTTTTCCCTTCCAATTCAAAATTTCATTCCGCTAGCCCAGCTTGATACTCCCTTGTAAAACACTAGATATGCACGGTTTCAAAGGATTTTAACTAGATTTTTTTATAGTTTGGGCCTCAATGGCATAAGGAAAAAGATTTAAATGTGCTATTTGAGTGCCTTTTGTTTTGTTATTGCGGTACACTTACGGAAAAAAGAAAGAACTATCAAAAATTTTATTCACCTGAAGTTGTTCTGTATTAGAAAAGGCACAATTTAACTTGTAAATTCATTGCCTTCCACTCTTGATTCAGTTACATCCTTGGTGTATAAAATACGTCCCTTTAAGCAATTATTACGTTATGTCGTATTATGCTGGAAAATCTGTTGAATCAGTACCAAATATTTATATTCTTCTCATTATAGATCCTCCGGCTTAGCAAGGATGCATTGTCAAAATTTTCAGAAGGTCAAGTGATCAACCTGGTATCGAACGATGTCCAGCGACTGGAGTGGGATACTGTGAGAAACTTTTTCTTTGGGGTTATTTCGTTTCTTGAGCTCCTTGCAGGAACATTTTTGCTCGTCTATTTAATCGGCTGGCAGACTTTGATGGGAGTAATATTCATTTTCCTCCTCCTGCCATATTTCGGCAGCCTGTCCTTCGCCAGTGCGTCTCTGCGTCTACGCTCAGCAGAGGCATCTGACAAACGCATCTCGTTAATAAACCAAGTTATCGCTGGAATCCGCGCCATCAAAATTAATGCCTGGGAAGATGTGTTCAGAGAAAAAATAAAGGATACGCGAAGGTAGGAAAACCAACCATAGGAAGTTATGATCTCAGTTAAAAGAATGAAATTCATGTATATTAATTGTTCAAGACAAGAAATTTCATCGCCGTGTTTTCACCAGGAAAGCAGTGTTCGTATCTGTATCTGTATCTATATACTCAGTTAGCTCAGTAGTGATGCTACCAAAATACTATATTGCATTCTTTATACGACGCCACGTCACTAAATTAAACTTAAGGTTCGAAGGCGATCGTGCAAATAAAGTAAAAGAACCATGGAACCGAGGCAGTACAGCTCTGCAGGACTACTTTATATGGTCTAGCTAAACTAGTAATGAATTTACAATAATTGTCACGAAAATAACACAATAATGTACAGTCGAACCTCCATGTGCGACCACCTCTTGTAAGCGACCACCACCCTTAATATAAGCGACGGCCAACCAAAACACCTAAACTTCCCCAGTCAAAGTCTTACAGTTGGAACCTCTAGCATAGCAAACGACCACCTCTCCTGTAAGCGACCGCGACCGCGACCACTTTTTGGGCCTGAAAGTAAAATGATTTTTCATAGCTTTTAACCTCTAATAAGCAACCACTTACGCATTCTCTGATTCTTATGTTCGCTGTTTGCACTATGCTACTCAGAATATAACTCCTTGAAAAAATACTGTGCACGAATATAGAAAAAACATGTCTACTTTATAACTATAATACTCCACAGTTGTTAATATAGATGCTATAGGTTAGTGAAGTTGGTGTAGTTGATGGAGTTTGCTGTAGTTGGCCTTAGTTGCTGTTATCCACGGCCCTATCTGATTCATCGCTTTTCGTTGTTGTTGTTTATTTTTAAAGACAAGAAGTCAACATAATCCGTAAAAAAAGTGCTGTTCTATCCGGTGTGGCCGCTATAGAGTACACTTCTACACTTATGGCGTCTCTAGTGTCTATCTTGACTCTTGTGTTGACTGGGCAGCCCCTTACACCTGTTAACGTCTTCCTTCTACTGTCGTTAATTGGTGTACTTCGGAGGACAGTTTGCGTTTTCTTGGCCTACGGATCTATGGATACATACGATGCTTATGTCTCGCTGGGGAGGTTAGAGGACTTCCTTCTTTTAGAGGATCTTCCTGAAATCTGCAATGATCATGAGGATAATGATGATCACGTTCATGATGATGATGACGATGACGATGATGATGATGATGATGATGATGATGATGGTGTTGTCACAGAAGACAGTGTAAACCACTCTTATTTTAAGGCAACTGGTAAAATTAACTGTCTGGAGAAAAGGCAAAACGTCTCCGTTCCGGAGAAGGCGGAGCACCTGGAGAGACAGCAACCTTATAAAGAGGGAACGAATTTATGTGTAACGGGATTAGCCGTGAAACAGGTTAACCTTGAAGAAAAATTCATCCTACAAGACTTCCATTTAAGAGCTGAAAAAGGTACTCTGACAGTTATCACCGGGCAAGTAGGGAGTGGGAAATCGACTCTTTTATCAGCAATTGCTGGTGAGGTTTCACACACAAACGGGACAGTTACTTATCCAGGAGGTCTCGTTTATGTGCCTCAAACAGCTTGGGTATTTTCTGGAACTATAAGAGAGAACATTTTGTTTGGTGAAGCGTACGATGAGTCTAAGTACACCAGAGTAACTGAAGCCTGCGCTCTAATCAGTGACATTCAGCATTTTCCGGCTGGTGACCAAACAGTCGTTGGAGAACGTGGTGAGGTCCTGAGTGGCGGTCAGCGTGCAAGGGTAAGTTTAGCACGCGCGGTGTACGCCGATGCTGAACTTTACTTGCTAGATGACCCCTTGAGTGCCTTGGATTTCAAAGTCTGTCGTCATGTATTTGAAAAGTGTATCAAGGGCTTACTGGATCAGAAAATCCGGCTACTCTGTTCTCACCAAGAACAGCACATGGAAGATGCTGATAACGTCGTTGTCTTGAACAAAGGCCGAGTGTTGGGAGCCGGAACTTTGAAACAGCTTAAAGGAGAGGGGATTCTGAATAACATGACAGGCCTATGCCATAACAAACTCGACAAGGATCGATTAGACGACAGTTTTGATTGGAATAATGAAGAAAATGACACATTGATCGAAGGCAAGGAAAGCGACAAACATAAGGGCCTAAAGATATCCGAGGAAGAACGCGAAATCGGAGTTGTGTCATGGGCACTTTACTGGAGCTACTTCAAGAGCGGAGTACCCTCTCCTGTGATCATTGCTGTAATCTGTTTTTGTTTCATCTCGCAAGGTAACCAACGTATAATGTAAGATTTGTTTTAGCACTCCGCATATAAATTTGGCACTGTTTCACCCGGCAGCTCCTAATTTGGTACAAATTGTGTTAAGATAGCTCCACGAGTGAGCGGTCGAAAGGTTAAAACAGATTTTAGGCACTAAAAACTAACACTAATACTCTGACGGATATCTAAGTTTTAACAGATGGCTTTTTTTTCTCGTACAGCTGGGCATTCATGCACTCATTCTTGAACTTTAGCCGATGTAAGTTAGGTACCCGGCCTATCAAAAGATCACACTGGGAACACGATGCCAACAAGGGTAAACATGATACCCTTAAAGATCGAGACCCTCAAAACCTATGCCGGGGGAGACTCCGCATATGAAAGGGGTGGGGATGCTCGTCGGAAATTTTGAATTAAGCCCCTAAAGGAGACCGATCTGGGCGTGGCCCAGGGTTTTTTGAACCCTAAAAGAGATCATGTTGAAACACAGTCAATATATATGTTTTTATATTTTTCGCGTGCGACCCTAAACGAGATTTTCACGGCTAAATATGATGGCGTTTTGCCCAGAACACCCTAAGTGAGACCAAAATCCGAAATTTACATCCCTAAGCGAGACGACGAGCATCACCACCCCTTTCATATGCGGAGTTACCCCCCCCCCCCGGGCAAACCTATGCCCTGATGGGTGGCGCCGATATATGGGAGTATTAAAGATCCTCTCTTGACTCAGGCTATTGATCAGATGGAGAAAATGATAGTATAGGCGGTCTTTTTGGTTACGGTTATTTTATCGTTTCTTATACTGCTGTTTTTTCTTCGTTCTTAGCAATTATAGCTTCTCCAGATGTATGGCTTGCGTTGCTCGTAAAGAAACAGCCAGCAGATCAGAGGGACCAGATGAACCTCATTATATATGGTTGTCTCGTGGGTGGAGCCTTTGTATTTGTAGTCATACGTGCATACGGATTTCTCCTGGTTTCTCTAAGATGTTCCCAGCGCCTTCATGATAAAATGGTCCTGGCTGTTCTACAAGCGCCAGTCCTGTTCTTTGACACAAATCCAGTGGGAAGAGTTATGAACAGGTTCTCCAAAGACATAAGCTGTCTTGATGAACTATTACCCAAAGCGTTTCTGATGTCAATGCAATTGGTTCTCCTCATGTTATCCGGAGTTCTTATTCCGATTGTCACCAATCCCTGGCTACTAACTGTTATCGCTCCATTAACTTTGGTCGTTTTGTACATTTCGAGGTATTACCTAAAGACGTCACGTGATCTCAAACGATTAGAGTCGAGTTGTAGAAGCCCTGTCTTTTCACACATCTCGGAGACTTTAAACGGACTGGACACGATTCGGACGAGAGGAAAACGAAGCGATTTTGTGGACCAGTTTTTCAGGTAAAAATCAATACAATTCCACTGTTATGTAATTGAAAAAGGGAGTGAAGACCTTATTACTTGCTACGCTTAACTGAAGAGCTGCTTTTAGATTATTTGAAGTGCGAAAGAGATCGAGAACACAAAACGAATCGCTCGGATTGTCATAGAAGAGAGAGGAATTGCTTATAGCCGGGGTCACAGATATTCTCTTGTATAACCCAAGTTGGCCATACAACGGTCAAACTTTGAACAAGTCGAGGAACCTGTTTCCAGGGTTCTCCCTTAAGGCCGATTTAGACGGTAAGACTTTGACTTACGACTATCGTGCGCGACCGCTAGCATACTTCATGACTTTCGACTATCCACACGCGCACAATTTCCACTTACGACATCCACGCGTGTCGTACGAATGTCGTGGGTCTAATTTACACGACAAGATCCGTCGGAAAGTCATGACGCATGCTAGTCGCGCACGATGGTAGTAAGCAAAAATCGTACCGTCTAAATCGGCCTTAAAAGTACGGGAAAAAGCCTGGGAACGACGTTGGATCTTAATCCGACATTTAGCGCAAACCGAAAGAAAACCTGGTGACAAGTAAATGGCCTTCTAGTCATTACTAGATAGAGACTTCAAATCATGCGAAACTGATTTCCGCCCAAAGAGAGGCGTTCAGTGAAATCGCACTTTTAGAAACCGCTAAAACTGACTGCATTTTGATATTGAATTGATTTATTGCAGATTTCAGGATATTCACACCCAGTCATTCATGGTGGTGATGGCAAGTGGGAGATGGCTGGGTGTACGCTTGGATCTAATTGCCTCCCTTATGACTACAGCGGTGGCTCTTTCTGCAGTTTTGGTATCTCAAGATGCTGGTAGGTACTGCGCTAACTACACTAACTACATCAACAACTGACTACAAACTACACCGAACTACAACAACCTACAACAAACTACAGTGGAATCCCGTTAATACGGTCACCAATGGGCCAAAAGAATTTGGCCGTAATAACGAGGTGACCGTATTAAAGAGGGTTTCTTTACAAGAAAATGTATGGTCGGTTTTGCCGGGCGGCCAAAAAAGTGGCCGTAATAACGAGGTGACCCGTAAGGCAGGGTTCCACTGTACTTCGAACTACAACAAGAGGGCCCCATTATGGATTAAATTATTTTTCTTCTTCCAATTAGCTTCTGCTGGTCTCTCTATGGTTTATATCATTCAAACCGTGGCTCAGACACAACTAGCGGTCAGAAAGACTTCGGATGTGGAGAATTTTATGACGTCAGTTGAACGAGTTATGGCTTACACCAGAATTGACCCTGAACCTGGATACAAGGTCGCCAAGCTTCCCCCGGAACAGTGGCCTAATAAAGGCAAAATCACCTTCCGAGATGTATCTCTAACCTATTATCCGGGGGGTCCCCAAGCCCTCAAGGGTATCAATATTGATATCGAAGGAGGTGAAAAGGTGGGCGTCGCCGGGCGGACGGGTGCTGGGAAGTCCTCATTTGTCGCAGCTCTTCTGCGCATGCCAGATCCTGCAGGGGATATCATCATTGATGGAGTTCCAGTTAAGGCAATCAACCTCCAAGGAGCTCGAAGGGCTTTATCAGTTTTAGGGCAAAGTCCTGTTCTCTTTAGTGGATCCATTAGGAAAAACCTTGACCCGATGGAGCAGTACGAAGACGCCGATTTATGGAGGGTATTAGAGCAAGTTCAGCTTAAAGATTTCGTGAAGAGTCGTGAAGGACAGTTGAATTACAATTTTCTGGAGCATGGTGCAAATATCAGCGTAGGGGAACGGCAATTAATCTGCTTAGCACGCGTCCTGTTGCAGCAGAACAAAATTGTCGTCCTTGATGAGCCAACTGCTCACGTGGATCCGGACACGGAACAAACGATCTGGAACGTTGTACGAGAAAAACTTCAGGACCTTACAGTGATTACCATTGCTCACCGTTTGAACACGATTAAAGACAGCGATAAAAACATTATATTCAAAAACGGGATGGCTTATGTAGCTTAGTTTCCCCTCCGGCCTGAAAATTTGTGTGTTGGTTACTTTCCTGGGGGGGGGAGGGGGGGCGGGGAGTGCCCCCATAAATTTCGGATAGGTGTGTGTATCCCAGGGTCTTAAGCCCTGGCTCGATTTTAGAAAGAGACACACGAAAACTAATACCCTATTCAATTAAGGCCCAAACCAAACAAAGGAGACCCAATTCATGAAGGAAAAACAAAAACTAGAATTCAATGAAAGCACACAAATCTTCCTCAAATCGCTTTCCTAATAGTCTACTGATAAAGTTCAGTTTTAACAAATTATTTGTTTCTCATGTAGCTGCGCATGTACACACTTGGATTTTAGCTATAGAAATATTGATAATAATATTAGTAACCTGTTTGAGGATCACACCGAAAACACAACGGTGGATGGAGACCTTAAAACTGACAATAACCTGTGGGGAGACACATACCTATGTAGAGGGTCTTAATGGGGTGATGTCTTTTACACCTAACGGTTAATATTTTGGCTTTTTTACGGCCAACGGTTAATTTTTTCCGTTACGGTTAACGGATCTGTTAAAAATTAATTACCATTGTTTTAAAAAGTTAAAAGTTAATTTTCATTGTTGTAAGAAATTTTAAGTCTTAGGAACATTCTGGTCTACATCTTCTTTCCTACACTGCGGTACTTTGACGTATACAAAACAAATAAAACAAGACCGAGGATATAAATTTACTTGTATTTGTGAAAGCGTAATAATGCAGGAGCTAAAATATCCCTGGGGGGCACTTGGGTTAATTTTTGCTGGGTATGTGCCGCTGGCCTCTCAGAACCCCTACCCCATTATAGCGTATTCTGTGGCCATATTTTAGACCCCATCTTAGTCACTTTGGGAAAAAAGTAATTTTCGTGATCCCAAGCTTAGTCATTTTCTGTTTATGCATCTGTGTTATAAAGCCTTTTAACTAGGTCACCCTGAAATGAACTTCCACATTTGTCAGACTTAATGTGGTGTAAATCTTTCTATTTTTAAATCCCTACACACCTGAATTTTCTGACCCCCAAAATACTGAAAATGTGCGACCCCATTCTAGTAACTCTTATAAAAAATGCGACCCATAATAGTCAATCAAGTCGTGAAAATGCGACTCCATCCAGCGAAACATACCCATTATCCTACCCCCTGAGTAGGAAGTACCACCCACGGGGGGCAATAGACAGCGGGAACCAATTGTGTTAATATTGGTATTAAAATAACCTGCCCCTCCCCCCAAAAAAAATCTCGGGTATTAAAATAACGTGCCCCTGCCTCCTCCAAAAAAAATCAGGGTCTCCGAAAATTGACGGTCTGGCAACTTGTTTAAGAGTCAGCGGCTGCTCATATGAAATTCCCTTCGGGCTAAATCCCTGAAAATGATCAAAATGATATTCCATATGGTGTAAGGTTTATTCTCATCCACTGTAGTAAAACAAATACAGACGATTTGCAGTCTCGTTAAAATAGTTTTCAGAGTTTTTGCGGAGAAATTTGAATAGATCATTGAGTTGTAAGTTTTGATTGGAAGAACAATCAATGGAATATGTCGACAAAGGGATTTATTTTTCATTCATTGTTGACATCACGGTCAACTTCCTCATCTTAAAGCAAACAGATCGAATGTTGAAATTCTTGAATAATCGATTCTACAATCAACCACATAAACTACCTTCCTTCTTTGAGTGGCGAAGCATAAAGGGTGAAAAAAAGAAACAAACTGAACTTTTTTTAGTCCAGCATTATCTTTTATTGGCGCATTCAATTTAAGGCCACGATATGACTGCATTTAAAATACAGCTCTTCTTTGCAATTCAGTTTCTAGTATAAAGAGAAGAAATTCAACACTCGGTATGGCTGAATTCCATGCATCACTCAGTAAATGAAGGTTTTTGTCATGCTCCACTTCCTATGTGCGTGGTTCATTGGTCCTTTAATAACTTTTGTTTAATTGGTCTTAATTGTTGGGATTGGTTGATATCAATATTGGTAATGAAATAGAGTACTACTCCGACGCAAACATCAGAGGGAAGAGGAATGAAGTGTCTACACTATTGATCATTTCCAGTGCTTTGTAAACACCGTGTTTTTCCTTGCAATTTCTGCATCCGTTTCATTCATTCTGGAAATCTTCCTACGGTTTCGATCGTAGACCCTCATAACAACTTGATAAAGTTTAGGGTTCCGCGGATCTAAGTGTGGAATTTTTGCAGGGTCCGGCATTTTTATCACCTTTTCGTAAGTGACACCACGGAACGTTCTTGCTCGGTTCATACTGGCGTCTTGATTTGGTCCTAACTCGCCCAACCATTCTCGATTACGCTTACTCAAGCTCTCGACGGGCTGATTTTCCTTCTCCGTCTTTAGTTCCGTGTCTTCTAACAAAAACGGAAAACAACTTCCTGCGAAGGCGTTTTTCCGGCGACGATTTAGCCTCGTTAACAAGGAGTTTTCGTCCAATTCGACGTTGCGCAAAGGTGGTAACGGCGCGCCTATAGAGGTCTTTTTGTTGTTCTCCGAAATAATCTTTAACGTTTTCTTTTTACTCCTTGCTGTCATTTCTATGAGTCTTTCCCTCTTAAACTCCGCAATTGACTCCCTTTGATCTTTTAACCAAATTGGTGCTTGATCTGCAACTGTAGTCCTTTGCGTCCTAATTTCCTCCGCCTCGACCTTTGTCTCGGCTGCCATAATCTTTATATTCTCCTGCGGCCCCAAAGGAGGTAAAAATTTTGACAAGGATTTCTTTTGCGTCTCTCTGAAATCTCTCTGTCTCTTACTGCATTCATTCGCGACCCGCCTCTGCTCACGTGAAATGATCCCCAAGTTAATCTCTAACTCTTTCACTAATCCTGCGTTTGTGTGACTCGCATGTTTCAAGCCATATTTGTTGGCGACTTTGATCTTGCTTCGCTTCGGAAGATTGCGGATTCTAACGAGTTCCTGATTGAGTCTCTCGTCCGCGTTTCGTCTTGCCGCTTCAAAATCCATTTCAGCGGTAATTAAAAAGGACATTCGCAAGACAAGCAACGCGATCTCGGATAATCCAACGCATTTTAAACGCTGTAAACAAAATGAATCCTTGCCACCCGCACGTCCTTTATCGACTTTTCTAAGAACCTTTAACGCACTGCTTCATTAGCGAACCCCTTCCTCATCTAGCAAAATCCACTTTTCCAATCTCCCGTTTACATAATGACGCTTTCAAGTTGATTTGATTACCGTAATGAAGACCAAAGTAATTTGCTATGCAGACGACTATGTCTTACACTTGGTTACCGTGACTGGGTGAAGTGCGTCAAATGTATGACTTGGTGGCGACCCGTGACTCAGTCTCTATGCGGTAATAGGCGATTTCGTTCTTTAAGCATCCTTACATTGACGATTGGCACTTCATCGTTTCATAATGAAACCTGCTTTTCCCTTTGGAGTCTCTCTCTGAGGCATACATGCATCAAGTATCAGGCACTTAGGTAAAGGACTGACGGCAGAAAACCGCTGACGCAAATATCACCTCGAAATTAATCATTAGCGGGTGACACAAGTTTGACAGTTTACCGCAACGATAACAAAATTAGAGCTTATTGCTGACGGACACAGCTGAGGACATGGCAAGACGAAGCTATCTCAACTTTGCAAGGAAAAGAACACATATAGCACTAACACGAGTCCAAACAGAGGTTTTTGTGCTCTTTGTTTGGTAGATTACATTGGATTGCCGCTAATTGTCCTGTTATTGGATAGTCGGGCGACAAATCTCAATAGCTGTTTGCTTGATAATAACAGTGCAGGTTTCATATGCAAATATACATCTGTGTTATTATTATATTACCTCATATCAGGTAAATACTGTTTGATTATTAACTACCCGAAAAACATACAGATGCAATATCTTTATGGAAAAAAGCTGACCACTTCTATCAGGGGCACCCAACGAGAATATAGTTCAAAACCACTTAAACATAGCATTGTATTTTAGTATTTAAAGGGTAGATAGAGGCATATTTTTATCCCCTAAAAATTTTTCATCTGTTTGGATTTCCTAGCTGAAAGTCTAGCGATCCGAAAATTATAAGGATCAAAACTTGCCTTTTCGAAAATTTCAGCCAGATAAAAGACTCCCGAAAATTCTAGGTGACCTTTTTTAGGGTAAAAATCCGTTAAAAATGGGCAATTATACCATTTTTAGATGTTCGAAAATCTTAGGAGAGGCGGGCAAGCAAGAAATTTTACAACAAATGTTCCGAAAATTCTAGATTTCAAGTCGTCGAGTCCAAACAGATATTTTCCGAAAATTGACGTTGGGTGCCCCTGTACTATCTCCCCTCGTGTCTCCGTCGCGTGCCCGGTTCTTCCGGCACCATGCAGAGTTCCTTGCTAGCGCCTGCTACGCTGAATAACTGTTAGATTACTAAATGCCTTAGTTCAAGCTTTTTACATCTCATTCTCCTCAGTTCGAGATACCTTCAATTCTGGCACAAGCAAAAACACAAGGGGCAGTTCATTCTGATTTATCAGTGTAAGCGACCACAAAAGCTTATCCAGGATGATTCATGGAAATATTTGGACACAGAAGGTCCGTGGTGTTTAAAAGCACTACTTGGTAACATCTTTTCTCAACAATCTTTTCGTCAAAAAAAACTACTATTTGTTTTATTGATAGCTAATTGATCTCTGGCTGGTGCATTTTGTCAATAGGTTATGAGATGACGTCAGCGAACCCAAATGCTAAGCCAGCTAACAGGAGCATTTTATAACCCTGGGAACGAGGTTGATTTTATGGCTGTGAAAACTAAGACAAGAAAACTTCCTGGTTTAGTGATTTATTCGTATTTAAAAGGAAGGTGAATTTACAGCAGTTAAAGCAATACAACGTTCTAAACTAATGAAAGCGGTACCATTTCTGCTCGGGGGGGGAGTACTTCCTAGTAGTAGGGTAATGGGTATGTGCCGCTGGATGGGGTCTCATTTTCACGACTGGATTGACTACTATGGGGTTGCATTTTTTGTTAGAGTTACTAGAATGAGGTCGTTCATTTTCAGGATATTGGAGGTCCGAAAATTCAGGTATGTAGGGATTTAAAAATAGAAAGACTTACACCATTAAGCCAAGTGGCAGTTCATTTCGGTATGACCTTTAAGGCTTTATAACTAGATGCATAAGCTGAATGTGACTAAGTTGGGATTGCGAAAATTACTTTTTTTTTCAAAAGTGACTAAGATGGGGTCTATATAGGGCCATAGAATAGACTATAACAAGAGCCGATTACGGCTCCTGACTATAATGGGGTAGGGGTTCTGAGAGGCCAGTGGCACATACCCAGCAAAAATTAACCCAAGTACCCCCGGGCATTTCTGTCACATATCAGGTGTAAAAGGGTAAGGGGTTGGACCTTGGGGTTGGACCTAAAGCTGGAGTCTCCCGTATAAAATTTTGTTTTTTCGCGGCCCCCATAGTTACAGAAATTAGGTGAACTGCACTGACAGCTCGATCAGTGACTGCCGCCATGGATCCGTTCATATTATAGCCTTCTCGGTATATTTATAATCTCTATACGTGTATTCTATTTCCGGCTAAACATATACAACCGAAAATCTGCTGGGATAAGTCGGATAAGTCCGACAACAGAAAGCACACGCGACGCTTTTTGAAATGAACTTTTTTAAATTATCCATTGTTGCTTCCTTTAACGCGACCAGTTTCACCAAGCATCTAAGTTTAACTGAAACGTATCTTTCATGGACCCATGGTTAGAACAATAATAGAAGCACGTTTCGGTGTCAGTTATTAAAAGTTTCTGTGCGTGTCCGAGATTGTTTATTCAAGATTGAGGATTTGTCGACCATTGACCCAGAGTTTCCAAATCGTTCAAGAAATATCCCGAATTTTGTTTTATAAAATGGTGGAAAGGTAGCCAAGTGTTGAGAAAAGAGTTTCGCTTGAAGGTAAGCACAGAAAACAGCCGCCCTCCCTATCTCCTGGGGACTATCTTTAGTTCATTACCCGGCTGGGTACCAGTGAGAGGTTTTTTCTCGCGTGCGACGAGGAGCTTTGTCTTCGTCTTCGGCCGAAGGCCGAACGGAAAACACGCATGAAAAGCCTCTGGAACCCAGGGTATCAGTTCATATACTCGACAGTGGAAGAAGTATGTAGCATGTCTCTATCCGCTCTCACCTTTACTAGTCCATCAAGACGTCCCGTGAAAGTCCTTGAAGGAGCGGGCTCTGACCACTGCTGGTTAGCTCATTTTGTCATAATGCCACGAATTATGACTGTCAGGAGCCGATAATCGGCTCCTGTGACTGTTTGTTAAGTAAACGGGGAAAAGTTGGTATGAAAACCTTTTGTCGTCTTCCTGGTTTGCTACACACTTCTCCGTTAATCGCATTCACACGTCCTCAGGACCCCACAGGACACCCATCAGTACCGCTTAAAATCGGACGGCCGAATTTCTTGTATTTTGTTGAGGTCGGCTAAAATCGTATTCTCACTGGCTGATAACAAAAAAAATTTGGCTTTCTTTTTGTTTCTTCTCAGTTTTAATTTCTCTCTTGTAAGCATCCAGAAGGCCACAACGGTTACAAGTGCATGCCTCGAATAACAGTTTGCTATTTGCGGGTTGTCAGTTTTGATTTTATTTTGTAACAAGGAGTACGTTTGAAGTAAAGTTGTCAGTAGTTGTTGTTGTATAGTCTTCCGCTGGTTGTTGTTTGTTGTTGTTTGGCTTCTTCTTTAATCTTCTTCTTCTTCTAGATCTTCTTATCATGATTATTGTTATTATCATTATTATTATCAGTATCAATAAATGCTGCCAACTACAACTATTATTTGAACAAGGGTCGTGCGCGTGCGAACCTCTACTTTGTAAATTACCCATAACTCCGTGGGAACTTTTCATTTGCCTCCGCAGCTACGCAGTAAAGTCGCAAATAAACAACTCATTATGGTGACAATTGACTGTTAATGGCACTTTCGCACTTAGTGAAAAGCAAATACAAACATGGAGCGCAAGACGATTTATTTGACTTGTTCAACAAAGAATCCGACAATTCGACCAAATTTTAATGCTTTCAATGTTTACAATGCTTAGACACGCTGAAGCTAAGCAAATTAAGTTTTAATGCTACTACAGGCTCTTTTCGACTTTGATCCTGTGCTTAGAATACCAGTGCGCTGAAACAATAAAGCAGATAAATTATTAAGACATCTTTGTTTTAAGCCAGCATTCTCTAGGGACCTGCTGAAAAACTTAATTGAAGCCTTAGAAATGCAAATCATTGTCTATTGCATGAATTCATATTTAAGTCAAGTGAAAACAAATGGCCCAGGATGCATTTTATTTGAGATTTCCATCACTCAAATGCCCGGGGGGGGGACTCCCATATGAAACAGACGGGGATGCTCGTCGGAAATTTTGAATTTAACCCCTAAAGGAGATCATCTGGGCGTGGCTCAAGCTTTTTGTGACCCCCAAAGGAGACCAATCTGGGCGTGACTTAAGCAAATTTTGACCCCTAAAAGAGACCGCTTAAAAAC